TCGGAGCTTGAGGGTTGGGTTGCCTGCTGGGAGGCATGAGACCCGCCTATGACTCTCTCAGCCAAGTCTGAGTCTGGTGCAGTCCAGGTGCAGCAGATTGACGTTATTGCTACAAGGCTACACTGTGACAATACAGTGGAGGACCGTGACTCCTGAAAGGAAAGAAAACAAAAGGAGGCATTGCAAGTTAGAGGGGGGGGAAAGCACGTGCCAGCCCCATAACAAAGGATTTAATAATTTCCTTCTGAGAGTGTGTGAGAAGCAACACCGTCCCCGACAGGGTGAGAACGCCAGTGAAGAGAATAAAAAGCAAACGCATGCCGCCTCGCTAGCAATCAGGAGGCAGAATGGAGACAAAGCCACATTATCCTCCCCCGTCAGGGTGGCTCCTGGCGTAGCGAGGGGCGGGGATCTGGTGTTTACTTGGAGAATGGGGTGCATAGAGGTTCTGCTATTGTGGAAGACTCAGGAGCTGCACGAACCCCCCTTCGCGTAGGCAGCTTTGCCCACTGGAGAAGCTCAGATGAGCCTCTCCACAGGTGCACGGAGCACAGGCCAGCCTTGGCTACAGCGCTGTGCTTCACAGAGCAGTGCACGTGGCGTCTTAATGTGTGCAGGCCGGCGCCTAGCACACCAGCTGTGCTGGGGTTCCCAGAGGCCTGCATGCAAGCACAGCGCGGAAAGGTCTCCACAAGGACACTCAGTAGGCCAGTTCTAGTGTGACCTTCACGCATGAAGACGGAACCACACCAGTGGGGATGTGAGCAGACAGCACTCAAGGTCTCTGCTCAGTGGTGACCTGGCTTCTCTCTCTCTAGGAAACATAAACCAGCAGGTGACGCTGACCTGTGCCTTGTCCCCTAACACAGGGGCACATTGCTATCCCCACACAGACCCATCCATGCCCCTCCTCTCTCATTCATTTTCCCACCAGCCCACAGCACCCCTAATGTCCCCTCCTCTGAGGTCTCAGGTCACTTCCTGGCATCCTCCCAAAGGCCCCTTCTCTGCCTGCCTGTCTGCCTTGCTGCTAAACAGCTTGCACACCTCATGCACATCCCTTCCTCTCTCCTCTTTCCCCCTTTTTCCTCTCCTCCTCTTCTCCCTCCTCCTTTTCTCCCTGCTTCTCTGCGTTAGAGGCCAGAGAACAACCTCAAGTGTTCTTAAGGCACTGTCCGCCATGTTTTTTTGAGACAGGGTCTCTTATTAGCCCAAGGCTTGCCAACTCAACTAAAATGGGTAGTTAGTGAACCACAGGAGTCCCCATCTCTGCCTCCCTGAGATCTGTCTGGGATTATGAGTGTGTACCCCAGATCCCAGCCTCTTTTCCTCTTGGGTCCTGGGGATCAAACTCAGGTCTTTGTGTTTGTGAGGAGAGCACCACAGGCTGAGACATCTCTCCAGCCTAAATCTCAATTCTTTTATTTTTAATTTTTAAAATTATTTTATGTATATGGACGTTTGGGCTGCATTTACATCTGTGCACCACATGGAGGGCACAAGAGGGAACCAGATTCCCTGGAATTGGAGTTACAAACAATTGTGAGATGCTGTGAGGGGCCTGGGGATTGAACTCGAGTCCTCCATAAGAACAGACTGGCTCTTACCCTTAGAGCCATCTCTCCAGTCCCTCATTTAATTTACTTTTAAGATATACGTAGCACAAACATTTGGCTTTGAGCATTTTCCTTGCTGGAGTAGTATTGGGTCCTGCATGCATCTGTGCAGCCTCCATGACGTCATCTTCCTAATTTCACCTTCAGAAATGTCTTCATTCTGCAAAACCAAGTCGGTATCTGTGAACCTAGTGACTCTAGGGGCCTGGGAATGTAGAATCATTTAATGTTGGTCCTTTCTCGTGTTCCTCAGTGTGCCCTTGAAGTCACTATGTAACCGGAGATGATCTGGGGCTTCTGATCCCCCCCACATCCACTTCACTCATGCTTTGGTACCAGGCCTACACCACCACGTCTGCGTTGGGAGGTCCTGGGCATGGAACCCAGGTCCTCCTGCCTGTTAGGCGGCACTACACATCCAACGATCTTCATTCTTTCATGAAGCATCCGCCCCTCCCCGAAGCTATAGCAGATGCCGGGATCCATTCCCCCTTGGAGGTCGACTCACTCTTGCTCTCCAGCCCATCAGTTTGGTGTTTGCCAAGGCTCCGCTATCACCGGCATTCTCTATTCCACAAACCCGGCTAAGCATCACAGAGCATGCCGGGTACCACTGAAGGAGCTTGGGGTACTACTGAGGCGGAGTCTATTCTGTCTGTGGTCCCAGAACCGGAATGGCAGCCAGCAACTTGTTGTAGTACGTGAATGAGATAATCTGTGAAGCCTGAACAGGGCTGGACACGGAAGTCACTTCCTAAGTAGCTACAGTTACTTTAACACACCCACACATGCTCTCCGTGCCTTTCCAAATGACATCAACTTCTAGGGAGGACAGTCAGCCTCTCCCCCTCCAGGGGGCATCTCCAGGCCCCACCTGGCAGAGGAAGACACTGAGATAAAGAGAAGTGGCCCCACACTGTCACATCTGGGCTCAGTTTTGCAGAATCTCCACTTTAGGCAACTAGGCTTGGAGCCGCAAGAGGCTCGGGTGTGTGTGTGGGGGGGGGCGCACAAAACTACCCTATCCCACAATCAGGGCTACCCCTTCCAGATATGGGAGAATGTGGATGTTAGCCTGGCCTCTGAGGCACAAGTTTTGCTTCTAGAAGTTTTCAGGCCTTGCCCAGGCTTGCAGCTGGATGGGGCTTATCCAATAGAATCAGAATTGTCCAAGAGTGAGCTTGCCTTGGAGATATGATGGAAATTTTAGCAGGTGAGTGACAGCCCTGTGGCCTGCTGGGTATTAGGAGGTGACTGTGAAAACCTCAGGAAGGCCTTAACCCTTCCGCCATCCAGAGCCAGAGCTCTCAGTCCGCTTCGCATTGAAAAAGGCAGAAACCGAGAGAAGTAACCCTGGTGGGGTCGTACAGTGTCTGCAGTCCAGTGCCCAGCATGGCGGGCCAGACTGGCTTCCTCGGAGTACAGCTTACAGCTGGCAGAAAAGCAAGCCACATTCCTGAGGTGGCTCAGTGGAAGGCAATGGCTTCATGGCAGCGAGACCAGTGGCATCCCTATCCAGGCTATGACTAACTGGAAGTGACAAGGGATGCAGAGCTGGAGCAGGTGGCAATTTACCCGCTCTGTCAGACACCAGATGTGCAGTGAGGACCCCTCAGATCCCTGAGGCCAAGGGACCTTAAGCAAAGGGGCAGGCAGGGCTACGTGGAGAGTAGGGCAAAGGCATTTAGATAGGCTTAGCTAACAGGGGACTGGCCCCTGGGCTTGGCCTCTGGCTGGCCATCTCATCCCAGCAACCCCCTGGGCCTCTCAATCCCAATAATGGATGAAAACCAGCACTGAGTGGATCAAGATAACAGAATCAGCAAGGATGCAGGCTAAGGCCTACTGAGCTCTCTCTGGGATTGCTTGAGGACCGTCTACCACCACACTAGTGCTCTGTAAAAAAGGGATGGACACCCCTGGGAAAGACCAGCTCTTGGTGAGGACTTAGGGCTCATCAGAAAAGAAATTAAACTAGAGACATTAAGATTGAGTGCTGAAGTCTGACCCAGACCAGGACTCCTACCTTCCTTGAAGCCTGTATACCACAGTCCCCGAGCTCTCCCTATATCTTGACCTCCAACCTCTGACCTCCACCCTGCCTTACATTGTCTCAGCAGCCATCACTAGCATGCCTCTGCTGTCTTCTTTGCTACTGGGAACTTCAAAGAGTTGTTCACATCCATGGGCAGCGTGGAGAGAAGGGAATGTATGATGTGCTCTTGCTTTCTTGAGCTTAGCTGGCTTAACGCACCTAACCCATCGCCTTAGATAGGATTCCCATGGCTGTGATAAAACACCATGGCCAGAATCAACTTGGAGAATGTGCTGCTTAGTTTGGGTTCGCGTGATTTGGGAAGAAGGAACCTCACTTGAAAAAAATACCTCCACAAGATTGACCTGTAGGCAAGCCCGTAGAGTCTTGTCTTTATTAGTGACTGATGCAGGAGGGCTCAGATCGGGGAAGCTGTACTACCCCAGGACCCGTGGTCCTGGATGGTAAAAGAAAGCAAGGCACAGGGAGCAAGCCAGTAAGTAGCACCTCTCCAAAGGCCTCAACATGGGTTCCTGCGTCTGGGTTCCTGCCTTGAGTTCTTGCCTTGACTTCCCTCAGGGATAAAGTATTACCTGAGGTTTGTAAGCCAGATAAAGTCTTTCTTCCTCAAGCTGCTATTGGCCATGGTATTTTATCACAGCAATAATAAAAAGCAAACTAAGGCTGGGACGAAAGGGCGAGTGTCATCTCACAACTTGCAACATCGTCCAGGGAAGTCACTAGAGGCAGAAACTCGAGGCAGGAACTAGAGGCAGGAACTGAAGCAGAAGGCATGGAAGGGAGCTGCTGCTTACTGGCTTGTTTGTGGCTTGCTCAACCTGCTTTCCTAAACCACTCAGGACCACCAGCTCCAGGGTGGAACTACCTACGGTGTTCTGGACCCTCACACATCACTCACCAAGCAAAAACACCACAAGCCAAACTGGTGATGCAGGTTCTCAGTGGAGTTTCCCTCTTCCCACATGACTCTAGATTGTGTTAGGTTGACATAAAGCTAACGATCACACCCGTTTACACAGTTCAGGCCCCTCTCTCTGCCTAGGGAATGGTGCCTGCCACTGACAGTGGGCTGGGTCTTGCTGCATCAATTTAATTAAGACAATTTCCTCATGCCATTACGCCCATAGGCTGACTCCATCTACATAGACCCTCATTGAGAAACTGGGGCAGTGAAGGAGCCTGGCTACCCTGTCCCTCCCCACCACGTACTCCACCCTCCAGCCTCTCCCCTGGGTGCACCAAGGAGCAATCTTTCCAGCAGCCCTTTATTCTCATTGACTTCTCTCACCAACCGTGACTTCTGAGATTTACCGGGATTTTCTGTGACGCGCTTGGCAGTTTAGTTGAGGAATTGGACAGTTTAGCTGCAGGAGTGTGATTTATTCAAGAGTCGTGCTCTGTCCTGAGTCACAAGACTCCTCTTCAGCCAGCTCTGGGGAAGAAGGGTGCTTGCTCTGGCCGCTCTGCCGTTGACAAGCTAAGTGGCTCGGGACTTGGGAGCTGTAACTCAGGTTTCTTCAAAGACACTGGGAAGCGCTGGCTGGCGATGTGATTGCTTTCCCATAACTAGGGCTGGGAACCAGAGCTGAAGTAGCCTCAAGAGCCCCAGGTAATTTTGCCAGGAGATAACAGGAGCTGACCGTGACAGCATCTTGGGGCAGGAGTGGGGGCTCCTATGGAGAGAAGCTTTGACAGCATTTGCAACCTACAGAAAGAAGGCTAACTAGAAAGGACTTCCACTCCAGCCTACCAACCCCTCGACCCCTCAAACTCTCACCCCACCCCACCCACTTGGTCCTTCTCTGTGTCTGGATGCCACCCTTTTGGTCCATGAGCTTCTCTACACATGGCATCTGAGTGCTTGCCCTGTCTCTGAGGTTGAACATGTTTTCTCAAAATGAGCTAATTGTAAGGCCACCTCCGAGGAAGACACCCCTAGTCTTCCTGGTCCCCTGTTCCTGTTCCTCCTCTGCTCTTCCAGCGCCTTTTGCAAGGAGCATGCAGTACTGTGTGCATGTGCGTGTGTGTGAACTCACATGCTTGTGTTGCATGCAGGTAAGCACCTTCCTCATGAATTCTGACTCGCCCACCAGGCCAAGAATGAAGACAAGGGCTCACTTCCTGCTGGGCCTATGGGAGACAGATCTCCTACCAACCACCTCCCTGGGTGCTTCTTGGAAACCAGAGCGGTTTAGTGAGGCAAGTGACAGGGTGGTGTGGTCACCCAGAGGGCCGGGAGATGACAAGCAGATGGTGTGGTCCCTACAGTCTGGGGAGCTAAAGGAGAGCTGAGTCCTGAGGGAGCAGGTGCCAAGGACTGACATCGCACTTAGCACACGGAGAGGAAGAGAAAAGACAGGAAGAAGGGGAAGGGAGGGGTGCAGGGAGGAAGGAAAGAGATGGTGGAGGAGGAGGGAGCAGGGGAAGGGAGAGGAGGTGCATAAAGGAAGGGGAAGGATGTGGGGGAGAGGAAAGAAGGTAGATGAGGGAGGCAGGCAAGGAGATGAAGGGGGTTCGGGGAGAGAAGGAGGAGGAAGGAGAGGCGGTGGAGGAGGAAGAAGAAGAGGGTGGAAAGGGGAGGGGAGGAAGCTAAGAGGAAGGGTGTGAGGGAAGCTTCCAGGGCAGAGGTTGGAAAAGACACTTGACCATTCCTGAAGGTGGCAGCTTCTGTGATGGGGGTCAGGAAACTCCCTTCCAGTCCTGGGGACACAGGGGTTGAGGGGGAAGTTTAGCTCTCTAAACTCTTCTTTCTCTCTTTCTGGGACTGGAGAGGTAGGGTCCAGATTCACAGAAAATTCTAGAGGTTCTCTGGGATAGAAGTCCCTTTGGAAGCCATGAGGTAGAGTAGCACAACCTTGGATGGGCCAAGGTTGCCCTGAACCTACCAGGCCCCTGGCCCCTCGGAGACACAGGGACTCTGGTGGGCCTGAGGCTCAAACTTCAGTCCTGAAAGGGCAAGGTACCTGAAGGGAGACAGCGGCTGCCAAAAAAAGTAAGTTCTGAATGCAATTACCTCAGTTCAGATGGGTTTAATGCATGAGGTCCAGCATCAGGCCCTGCACACACACCTATCTGCAAAGAAAGTATCAGCTGTTCACACAGGCAAACATACACATGAGGTGTGGGTGTGTGTGTGTGTGTGTGAGAGAGAGAGAGAGAGGGGGGAGGTATGGCTGCACTGTGCCTCTTCTGAAGATCCACAGACAGCCCACCCACCCGAGGACAAGACCAGAAGGCGATCCAAGGGTAACCAGCCAATCCAATTCAGCCTGCCTTTGCCAGCGAGTATGTGACCTCAGACAAGTGTCCTTTCTGGATTTCGGATTCCACAGCTGTGAAACGGAAGTCACAGCAGGACAAAGTGCTCTCCTGAGTCCCGGATGAGATCCTGGAGGTGATGGGTCTACACAGGGCTTGACCTGGCTTCAGCTCTGTGGAAACTTCTGGCATTTTCCCCTTCTTTTCCAGGTTCCTGAAGGCCTGAACAAAGCCAGTGAGCAAAGTGAGCACTGGTGTCTTCATTTCTGATACCTAAGTACAGGCGATAGCTCCCATTAGCCCTCCTGCCCCAGAAAAAAAGCCACAAGAACAATGAATGCAAGTGGCAATCCTCAGGGTGACCAGGGACTACCTGGACCCACCAAGGCTTCTATCACGGCTCCACCTTCATCACCCAGGACCCTGAGCCACAGATGACAGGCTCTCCAGGACAGACAGAGAGACATCCTGTCTGGCGACAACACACAGCAGCTGCTCCCGACACAGGCCTCCCCGCCCTCCACAGCACCCGGGACATGCGGCTGTGCCAGATGCCAGGATACACCGGTTCTGCCTCCCCAGGCACAGGGAGGAGAGAGGGAGCGAGGTCACAGCAGGATAACATGAGAGATAATTAGTGGTTTTGTCAGTAACATGTTAATCCCACCGCTGTCTGTGCAGCCCAGGCTCCAAGCCAGGCGCCAATGGAGAAAATGAAATCTCCTAACCTGTTCCAAGCACTGGCTCTTCTCACAGCCTTCAGCCTTGCTGCCCACTTAATCCCAACACAGTGATGAGAGAGGGCCTGTGACCCACTTACAGATGACTACAGAGGCCAGGAGAGGCTGAACTGTGTGATCTGATGAACCCCGGATTTCTGGTGCCCCCCACGCCCCATGGAATGATGGGTAAGCACTGCCCTCCAAGAGGCCTGGCTAGATCTAGCAGTATGGGGAATGGAATGACCATCTGTCCTGACAAATTTCCAGGTAGAAATCACGAAAGGCTTCCTGGAGGAAGGGATATTGGCACTAAGAGCTGAAGATACAGCAGGAGTGGCCAGGCATCAAGTAGAGAAAGCAGACAACACCTACTCTGGAAGCCCCTTACCCAACCCCAAGATAAACCACCATGCCACAACCCCTGCCTAGGCCTCTGCCACACCGGCTGTTGCTACAAAGCAGGGCCCAGGCCTGGCTTCTCCAGGTTTCTGAGGCCACTCAGCTTAAGACAAAGAAACCACAGAGGGATCCAGCGTGATAGGCAGAGAGCAGCAGCTGCTCACCCTGACACCGGCTGTGTGGGGTAAGACACAGGGAGTTGTTGCTGATGCTGAGGGGTGGGATTTGAGGACTGTGCACTCTGGACAGGCAAGCCACTAAACAAAGGTTTTGGGGAGTTTTAGACCAGTGGCTGTCCTTCAGGGCTGCAGAGTACCCAGTAGAGCAGGGGACCTCATAGGCCACAGTAGCACCATTCCAGTCCCAGTTTGCAAATGGTGCGTGTGAGAGAAGCTAAGAAGCACAAGTTGCTGTTCTAGAAGAGGGCTTTTTTTTCTTCCTTTGTCCTCTGCTTATCCTCATGATGCCGCCGGTTTCCTCAGTTGGACAAACCGAACTGACATTTGCCTTACTGCATTCTGCTGCCCTCACCCTCCCCGTGTCTAACACAGAGCAAAGGTAAGTTGATGGCTATGGTGAGGGACACGTTTGCTTCACCGGGAGCCACTGCGTGGCATCTAAGCCAGCTCTGTGGTGAACTGCCCCGTGGTTAAACTCAGGCTCCCGTGCCTCCAGAGTGTGAATGATAAAACAGAGAAGCCACACTAGCTCCCCAAAGGCTGAGGTGTAGCAGCAAAGAGGGGGACCCTACATCCGGCTCTGCATCCCCATGATCTCAGTTCCTGTGTCTGTAAATGACATACATAGAACCAGGAGATTGCCAACTTCTAGGACTGCCGTGAATGTCAATGTTGTGTACACAGCTGCTGCCAAGGTATTCGGAGCAGAGTAGTGCCCATAAGTAGTGAGCTGTCACCCCTTGATGCCCAGCAAATACCTTGTGTCTGTCACTATCTAAGCCTTGGCAGCCCTAGACAGGAGATGGAGCAGCCTGGATCCCTGTGTGCCACCAGGACTTCTGTGACAGTGTGAGGTGAGAAAAGCCCTTAGAACTTGAAGTCACAACAACCCACAAAAGGTCATCAGGCCAGCTCACTTGGTTTGGCTCTGCAACACCTCAGGCCTAGAACTTGGTTTGAAATAGTTTCCTCTGCCTTCTCACAGATATATGCCAGCTCTCTGGAGGAGCTGGGGCGGGGGTTGAGGACTATGAGCGCTGGACAGGCGAGCCATTAAACAGGGAGACTGGGCACGTGAGTAAGATCCAGCAAAGCCCCCACGTGGCTGAGCCAAACTCACAGTGTCTCCAGACAGTAGAACTTCTACACAATACATGTAAAATAAACGCTTAACAGGATTATAGAAACATCAAAGGGGGAGGATTAAAAAAATAGGAGCCAGGAGCCAGCGATGGCAGAAACAATCAAACAGATTAGAAAAAGAATAAGGAAATTAATAAGTCAGTAATTGTATAAATTGGTGTAATTACTCTGGGAAGCAATTTGCCATTATCCAGTAAATATGGGGTGAACAAACCGCCATCTTACTGTCTCCCAGGAGACAGGTGCCAAATTTCTGGGATCCCTGTTTGGGAGGGTTGACTGGTTAGTTGGTTGGTTAGATGATTAGCTGGTTAGTTGGTTCTTTGTTTGGCTGGCTGGCTGGCAGTCTGGTTGGTTGCTTAGTTGGTTAGTTGACTGACTGGTTGACTGGTTGACTGGTTGGTTGGTTGGTTAGTTGACTGGCTGGCTGGCTGGCTGGTTGGTTACTTGACTGGCTGGTTGTTTGTTTGGTTGGTTGGTTGGTTATCTGGCTAGTTGGTTGGCTGGATGTTTGGTTAGCTGGCTGGTTGATTGACTGATTAGTTGGTTGACTGGATGGTTAGTTGGCTGGCTTGTTGGTTGCTTGACTGGCTGGTTAGTTGGTTGGTTAGCTGGGTAATTGATTGGTTGGCTGGATGGTTTATTGGTTGGTTGGTTGGCTGACTATCTGGCTGTCTGGTTAGGTGGCTGGTTGGTTGGTTGGTTGGTTGGTTGGTTGGTTGGTTGGTTAGTTGGTTGGCTGACTGGATAGATGGCTGGATGGCTGACTGGTTGGTTGGTTGGTTGGTTAGTTGGTTGGTTTGTTGGTTGATTAGCTGATTGGTTGCTTGGCTGGCTGACTGACTGGCTGGGTGGCTAGCTGGTTGGTTGGTTAGATGGACAGCTGGTTGGTTGGTTTGAGAGTATCTTCTTATGTAGCCCAAGGTGACTTTGAAGTTGTAATCTTCCTGCCTCATTCTCCCAGAGTTATAAGTGTGTGCCACCATGCCCTGCCTAGGAGTGTTGTTTGTAACAGCAAAACCCAATCAACCTACTAAGAAAACACAACAGAACAAAAGAAAAGAGAGAAGCAGGGATAAATAGGAGGGATAAATAAATACAGGGAAAGGGAGGGAGGGAGGCAGGGAGGGAGGGAGGGAGGGAGGGAGGGAGGGAGGGAGGGAGGGAGGGAGGAGGTTTGTGAAGGCATAAATGTCTGGTCTGGGGAAGACTTGGTTCACAGGGTAGCTCCTCATCATAGGTAGGAGGGTAAACTGAGGCAGATGACTCCCTGTGAGTCTATTTAAGATTCTCGGAGCTACCTAGCTCTGACACTTCCTGGGACCCCCCCCCCAGCTTTGCACCCAGCACCAGGGCCCCATGCACAAAGCATGTGTATGAATGGTGACACACAGGGTGACTGCAGTTGTCTTCTTACTTCATCTGTGGCCCATACACACCCCCATTGCACCAGCTCCCTGGAGCCCTGGTCTGCATGCCTGTCTCCCCAGCCTCTGACTCATGTGTTCTCAGGAACATGGAAGCCGTCCAAGCCTGGGTCTGTCTGACCCTGCAGACGGAGCTGGGCTCCCCGCGTGAGGGGCTGGCTGCCTCTGATTATGCATGCCCAGCCAGACCTGGTCTCTCCAAGCTGCTGCCTGGGGGTGGGGGGATGGCGCCCCTCTATAGTCAGACAGTCCCGGGAGTCAGTCTTGTATCCTCTCAGCCTTGTGACCTTGGTGAATGAGTCAAAGTCTCTGAGCCACAACTGCTCATTTGCATAATGGAGAAAACACTAAGGCCCTTGGGGCTGCAGAGAGAGTGGGGGAGCTGTGTGATTTTAGAGATTAGAAGACGCTTGACCAGGGGCTCCTACACACTATTTCCGGGGCTCGCTGTGTTACCCCATTTCTCTCACTGCAGCCAAGGCATCTAAGCCAACAGAACTCCACTCCACAAAGGACAAAACTGAGGCCATGAGAGGAAAGGAACACACAGGGGACATCTCAGACCTGAGAAGCCACAGGCTCCAATGTGACCCCTGCTGTACGCTGGAGGACAACCACTGCCCCCTCAGACTTGTTCCTACTCAGCTAGATTACTCATATCTCTAGAAGGAGCACCCGGCCTTAGGACGTCCTATAGCTTATATCCTTGTGATCAGCCAGAAGAAGCCCTACCTGGGATGGCCTGTCCCCAGAACTGTAATCTGAACTCCAGCCACGAAGCAAGGCCAGCTTGGTCAGCTGCATCTCGGTGAACTGTCTCCCCAAGTACAAGAATGCCATAGATGCCTGAGTGAGCTGCCCTGGTCAGGTGCCTGCTAAGCGACTTACTTCGGTGCCAACTCACTGATGCATGCTCTGAGCTTTGCTCCTTTATCAAACACAGATATAAGGCACACATGCACAGACCGGGCTCTGCAGAAAGAACGGGCAGCCTGAATATGCTACGCTCACTTGAAGCTCAGTTCCCTTGCAGCATGCCACACAAGCAGTCATCCCACACTGCCAGACCTGCTGTCTATCAGCTGGCTGGCTTGTCTCCCTGCCCAGGGCCTGGCCCAGCACCACGTGTAGGGACAGCATCTGTTCTATATCCGTTTGCACAACTTGGCCCTGACTTTCAGAGCGTTGCTTGGGGTCAGCTTGCTCTTAAACCTGGAACAAACTCTCTGGTGCCTCCTTGTTGCCCCCAGGATCCCTGAGGTCACCCCAAGTGGGGAGAAGCAGATGCTGGCAGTTCCCTTCCCCTTGCACGGTATTAGCCCCAAAGCCAATGTCCAGGCTGGAGACATGTG